AGCATCACCAGGGATGAAACCCAGCGTCTGGTGATGTCTATGCGTTCCAGACTTCAGGCTGTGATTGACTGCAAAGGATTTGCAACCAAGTATTAAGAAGGGAAAGTTTGATTTATGATTATTATTCTGTCCCATTACTTTTGGTCCCTTAACAAGTGGGAGGCACATATGCAAACTGCTGTAAATCCTACACCGTTCACCTGAGTTGGATGTACATACCCTCAAATTAAAGCTGACAGTCTGCAGTTAATGCACATTGTGTTTGTTTCATTCCAACTCCATTGTGGTGGTGTATAGAGCCAAAGATGTTAGAATTGTGTCGATGTCCCAATATTTCTGGACCTGACTGTATGTAAAAATAACTGAAAGTAATTAAAATATTAGGAAAAGAGAAAAATAATTATTGAAGTGGGAATAAGAAATTAGGAATTAAAGAAAATAAGAGGTGGAAGGTTAATTAAGTTCAACATTTATGTGAAGCCACTGGGTGAGATCATCCGTGGTTTTGGGGTGAAGTGCCATCTGTATGCTGATGATACTCAGCTGTACATCTCCACCCCAGACCACCCCAACGATGCCCTTGATGTGGTGTCTCGCTGCCTGGAGGCCGTGCGGGTCTGGATGGGGAGGAACAGGCTCAGACTCAACCCCTCCAAGACTGAGTGGCTGTGGCTTCCGGCGCCCCGATATAGTCAGCAGGTGCCATTGCTGACTATTGGGGGTGAATCTTTGCCCCCCACAGAGAGGGCTTGCAATCTGGGTGTCCTCCTGGACGCGCGGCTGTCTTTAGAAGAGCATATGACAGCCGTGGCCAGGGGGGCCTTTTATCAGGTTCGCCTGATTCGCCAGTTGCAGCCCTTTCTGGATCGGGACGCCCTGCGCACGGTCACTCATGCCCTTGTTACTTCCCGGTTGGACTATTGTAATGCTCTCTACATGGGGCTCCCCTTGAAGAGCACTCGGAGGCTCCAACTGGTCCAGAATGCGGCCGTGCGGGTGGTTATGGGCGCAACTCGTTGTGCCCATGTGACACCCCTCCTGCGCGAGCTGCACTGGCTCCCAGTGGTCTTCCGGGTGCGATTCAAGGTGTTGGTTACCACCTTTAAAGCGCTCCATGGCATAGGATCTGGGTACCTCCGAGACCGTCTCCTGCCACCAATAGCCTCCCACCGACCAGTTCGCTCCCACAGAGAGGGTCTCCTCAGGGTGCCACCGGCCAACTTATGTCGGCTGGCAACACCCAGGGGGAGGGCCTTCTCTGTGGGAGCCCCAGCCCTGTGGAACGAACTGCCCCCGGAAATACGTAAGATCTCCGACCTCCGGGTGTTTCGCTGCGCACTGAAGACCCTGTTGTTCCACCAGGCCGGACTATCAACATAATAGTTTTAAATTGGGGTATTTAAATTTTTTGGGGTTTTAAATCTGAGCCAATTTATTTAATTATTTTAAATTTTAAATTGCTGTTTTGTCTGTGTTTTTAAATAGGCTGTACACCGCCCTGAGTCCTTCGGGAGAAGGGCGGTATAGAAATAAAATTATTATTATTATTATTATTATTATTATTATTATTATTATTATTATTATTATTATTATTATTATTATTATGTTAAAAGGTTTTAAGGTAAGAATGGAATAAGTTGAAATACATTGTTAAGAATTAAAAAACATGATGGGAATTTTGAGAAATATATTCAATAAATGGAAAGAAAATCGGGGCTGCCTGGACACCGTGGAAAAAAACACTGAATTGAAAATAAATACAGCAATAGAGAGAGATGGAAGAGGAGTAGGGAGATTGAAGGAAGGGAGAAGGAGAGAGAGGAATAGAAGAAAGAGAAGAGGAGAGGAAGAAAGGGAGGGGAAATAAGAGTAGGAGAGAAGGTAAGATAGGGAGGAAGAAAGGAGGAGGGGGAGAAAGGAAGGGGAAGTAGAGAAGGAGTAGGAGAGGAAAGAAGAAAAAGGTTGGAAGGATAAACCCTTTTTTAGAGCCTTGGTAGTACAGTGGTCTAAGGCACCCTGTTATTAAGCTGGTTATTAAAACCAGCTGCCTGCAATTACTGCAGGTTCGAATCTCGCCAAGGCTCAAGGTTGACTCAGCCTTCCATCCTTTCTAAGGTAGGTAAATTGAGGACCCAGTTGTGGGGGCAATAAGCTGACTTTGTATAAATATACAAAAGAATGAAGGCTATTGCTTAGCGCATTGTAAGCCGCCCTGAGTCTCCGGAGAAGGGCGGCATATAAATCAAAATTAAAAAAAAAAAAAGAAGAAGGGAGGGAGAGGAAGAGAAAGAGAAGAAAGATTGCTGTAGAACACAAAAAAAAAAAAAGATGAAATGGAAGAAAAGCATCCCCGAACATGTTTAAATATACTAGGATAAAGAATGAATTATTAAAAATTAAAAGAATATATATGATTAAAAATGGAGAAAATAAAATTTGAGGGCGAAAGAAGATACTGCTTATATAAACAAGAATAGAAATATTAAGATTTGATTAAAAATATAGAAAAATAATACTTTGGCAGAAATTGTAACTAAGTAAAATATATTTGGATATAACAAGTTGTATATGATATGATATGATATGGTCAATACTCTGTTTCATAAAGTATGTGGGTATGTGTCAGGGGGAAAAAAAACTAATAAAACTTGATTAAAAAAAAAAAGACTAGAATTCACAATCTCATAGTTTTTAGCCTGTGCTTTAACCACTAGACCAAACTGACTCTAAAACTTTATAGTTTAATTTGCTGGATTTGAGAACTACTTGTTTTCAATTCATACTCTCCTGACTTTATAACAAAAGTTGTTTGGGGTTGCTCAACAGAAGGATTATTGGTTTAGCTTAATATATTTCTCTTTTTCCTAATCTTATAATTCAAATCATGGTGTTATAAAGCAGATAATTTGACTGGATCTAGATTAATTAGTAGCTATTTTCTGAAGTACTTGTGTGTAGGGCCAGGCCAGTTAACAACCATTCTATTTACTTCTAGGAACAACTGGAGCTGATTGAGCAGAATGTTAGTTGGTTGATGGAAAAATTAAGCTTCCTGTCTCCTACTTGGCTGTGGTTAAAAGTGACTGGCTGGCTATTCTGCAGTGTCTTGGCCTCTCCTCTTAATACTTTCTCCAAAGTTAAAATCAAAATAAGCATGTGCACACATATATCCCCACCCAAAACAATTAAATATCTTGGGAGAATAGCCCAACTCTATATGGAAATAATAATAATAATAATTTATTTATTATTTTTATTAGTCATATTTCTATGCCGCCTAATAATAATAATATTTGTGGAGAAGAAAAAAGTGTGGATCATCGACATTGCCATACCTGGTGACAGCAGAATTGACGAGAAACAATTTGAAAAAGTCACCAGATATCAGGACTTGAGAATCGAACTGCAGAGACTCTGGCATAAACCAGTGCAGATGGTTCCAGTGGTACTCGGCACATTGGGTACTGTGCCTAAAGACCTAGGCAAGCACTTAAAAACAATTGGCGCTAACAAGATCACCATTGGTCAGCTGCAGAAGGCCATCTTACTGGGATCTGCTCGCATAATCCACCGATACATCACACAGTCCTAAACACTTGGGAAGTGTTCGACTAGTGATTTGGGATACGAAATCCAGCATGGTCATCTCGTTTGCTGTGTATACTGTCATAAATAACAAAAACAACAACAACAATAATAATCCCCCTATGGGTGCCGCCTTGACATGGCAGGGGGTTTAATTGCTGTGATGAAGCTGAGAGCTGTGCTGGTGGTAGTGCAAACTACCAGCAGGTCCAACCATGTCAGAGAGGTCTAGGCCGAGGAGCAGAACTGAGTGCACCCAACAACCCATGCAATGAATCATGTGAAACACAACCAAACTATACTGGCTCGGTCGTCGCCCGGGTTAACAAGAACCATGTCGGGTGCTGGGGAACCTGGGCACTCATCAACAAGTGGGCTACAGGCCACGGGTCCCATAGCTGAGCAACCAGGGCATGGGCCTGCAGGGCTACTGGAAGCTGAACAACCTCAGAAGCATCAGAAATACACCATGTCAGAGAACCGCATTGTAATGAAATGCTACTACAAACAGAACCAGAAAAACAAGGCTACCAAAAAAGGATGCACAAATTATGGAAACAAGAATACCCAGACTCAAGAATAACTGAATTGCAATTAGCCGATCAGTGACGATTCATCACTCGGAACTAAGTGCTCAGCGAAGTCGAACTTGAAGAAATACGGAAAAATTGTGAAACGGGAACACAGACTGCTGAACAGCAGACTGCTGAAGTGGCAGCAGAAAATACTCCAATATCATCTGGAGCAACTGAACAGCCTGAATTCGAAGAAAATGCAGATATTTTGCAAGAACAGGATCAACAAGGGCCTGAAGTCATCATTGAAACACCAGAAGTACTCAATGCCAGGCAGCAAGAACTGAAAGCTAAAATCTTGGCACATGCTGCAACAAATGCAGAGAGAAGAAGGCTTCCAACACTGAAGACTGTCCCTAGAAAACATTTGGCGCCATTGATGATAGATGCTGTTTTTCCTGTGTACCTAGTCTGCATAGGTCGACTGCCTCGATGCCAGAATAGAGTGCCTAATCTTCAAGGCTAATAACCATGAATAGATTTGTTCTCTAGGAATTTATCTTCTGAAGCCACCTCAACTAACTACCATCTTTTGGAATTATATACCATAGGTTGATTATATACCGAATGAAAAAAAATCCTATAAATTTTAAATTTATTAGTCAATTCCATCAGGGGGGGAAGGGCTTCTACATCTAGTATTAACACTGTTCATAAGTTGCAACACTTGCAGCTCTACAGTTCTACTCTAAAACAAAAACTTCTTTCATGTGCAAATACAACAAAGTATCCATGGATACAAAACATGTATCCATGTTTTAAAAGTAATGTCAACCTTGAAATTGTGTAGTTGATAAAAAAGCTTAACAGTAGAAATATATCAATATATGGATATATAAATATATTTTAAATGTGTGCTTTATTTTTAAACCTGTATAAATAAATACAAAATGACAAAGAGGTTTATGTTTACTAAACATTGCATTTGATTGTATGACGTTACACAATGTCTGTCACAATAGGTTGACTGAAAATTGTGTCATTTCTGCTGTTGCTGCATAATTATAGAAGTTTGTTGAATACAATTACTCCTGAAGCTGCATCCAGCCATCCTTTTCAGTGAAACCCCTGAGTACTTACAATTGCAAAAGAGTGTTAGGGGAGCCATTAAACCACAGTGGCTAAATTCTTGAAATTGTGCAAGAAAATTAAAATAAAGAGATCATTTCTCTGTCGATATATAAAACAAATGGTAGACTTGAAAACATTCTGTTTTCTTAGAATAGTGTTTTCTCCCTCAGTGGCTGAAAAAAATCTACAAAATGGTCTGAAGAAATAACAATAACAACAACGACAATAATAATAATAACAACAACAACAATAATAATAATAGACTCATTTCATTACATTACTTAATCACCTGAGATTTCTTTACTCTCCTCATGTTCACTGAAAGCTTGGCAATGTTAATAGCCATTGAATTTGTGATGCACATACATTACATATGATTTTTTCATTGCTTAAATCTTCATCCATGGATCTGCCTAACATAATAGAGCCTTAGCCAGTTTTATGGTGAATCTGAGTTCAGCAATTGTGTAGGATGAGAGTGATTAGAGTTCATTGTCGACTGTAGAGCAAAGGTAACTTTGCCAATAACAACCATCTTCACTACTGTACTCCAAAACTGGCTATTGTACTCCATGTTAGGAAAATCCATATCTGAAGATGAATTGTATATGGTCATCCACAAGGATTATGCTTTTCACAGAGCATGAGGAGGAGATTGATGATCAGCCACTAAAAGGAACTTTTGGATCTCCAAATACCTTTATATTGTTACCCATGGAAGGTCAACTGCCAAAGTTTGAATAGTGTACTTTTGTTAACGGTTATAATTAAAAGACACTGCCTAATTTAGACATTTTAGAAATAGTTTGTTTTCCAGGAAAGATTCTTTGCATGCCAGGAGATAATTTGCTGGAATTCATTTGAGAAGAAAAACCCATCACCTTTCAGTTCTCTTTCTGAACCACATGAAGCAATGACTAAGCAGAGTAAATAGTTGCAAACAACAGTAAATAAAGGAAACTGAATATCAGATGTGACTGAATATCTAAAATAGCCACTAGCCAATCTGTCTGTGTCTGTTGTAATTGGATGTGAATTTAATCTTGATGGCTTAAGTTTTGTAAATCAAAGATTTCTTCAACTCTGTTAAAGTGAGGACCATTATTCTATTTCTCCTCTTCTTTCCACATATTCTTCTATTGCAATTGACTATATGGAAGTTGAAGGGGAGACTCGCGAAAAGGATATGATATTAAAAACCAGCTCTTTCTCCATCTCAGTATATTTACATTGTATGCCACAATCAATTTACAGTATTCTTGGGATGAAAGAAAGAAGCAACATTGCTAGATAAGGCAATTAAGCATTGCTACAATGCTTTCACACACCCAGTATTTAAAATATTAGTAAAAAATAGATTTATCATGATTCTATTCACAATTGCTCTCTATAGTATAGCTAGTTCATGAGAGGACTACAGAGAGGCATCTCACATAAAATGTCTTAAGTGCACAGCTCAAGGGAAAAAGACCCAAAATGAAAAGCAGCGCAAAGCACATGCGCAGAAGAGAACTGGTAGTAACACCGGTTGGAATCCACCACTGGCTAATTTACAGACACAGGAAAAGCAAGAGTAGCTGCCTCTTGCTGCCACTCATTTGCTAACAAACCAAATGCCCCTAACTAACAGAAGGCAAGCAGTGAATTCCTGATGTTAGCTGCTAAGAGCATCAGCAGGGAGCTGTGAAGAGATAGTGCAAGCAATGAGCAACTTCTCATGTTATATTTCCTAATGGACATTACTGCTTGCTTACTTGGACAGGTAAATTAGTTGCAAACTGATTTTCTCTGGGCAGCAATTGCTACTGCTCTCATCCATAGGATCTACTGCTGCTAACTCATTATATAAGCAATTGCCACCTGTTTTAAATGAGGTGGAGAAGTAGACAGAATCTTAATTGCATGGAAAATGAAAGCGGGGTTGGGAAGCAGAAGGCATCTCCCCCTACATCCCTAGCACAATGAAGTGAAGTTAAAGTTAAAGAACAAATAGCCAGACTCAAATTATTGATCATCTAAGGCAAGTAACCGTTTCTTGATTGTTGACTTTTTTCTCAGAGTACAATAATTGGAGATAGCTAAACTTTTATCCAAATTCAGTCAAGCAATTTATGTAGGTCACTTAGATCAGGACTGGACAATGTGCAACCTACCAGAAGTTTTGAACTCTACTTCCAACCATCTTGTCTCAACGGCAAATGATGAAAATTACAGTTCAGTGACATATGGCGGACCATGTTTGTTCTCTACTTAGATTAAATATATATTTTAGAGGTGATAAAGACAAGTTCTAGAAGCAAGTATAGTTACAATTATCCTTTAATGCCTGACTTTAAAGAAGGTACATCATTTTTATACTTTCAGTTTATCTGGCAGGTGCATTGATATTTTATACAAACTTTTCCAAGTTTAGTGCCCTCTTGTGTTACTACTACATCCAACTGCCCTATCAGGAGAGCTTCAGAAAATGGAAATTTTAGTTCTTCATATCTGAAAATACATCCTTTTTTCCATAACTTTGCTCCTCCTTGTTTGCTTTAAGGGTTATCGGTTTTTTAATTTTATTTTATTGTTCTTACAGTTTATTGACTTCATTGGTTCAAATTAACAGTTGCATGAAATGTTATTTATATAGCTTTTGTAGTTCAGTCAATAATGTAATTCACAACTTTAACCATTAGTTTCAGCTGTATCTATCTAAATCTTCCCATCATATGTCTTTCTTGTTTTGGGGCTCTTTTCCCTTATCTTTTGTTATGATGCCACTACTAACTGTCTTTTCTGGTTTAAAAATTGTTTAAGTCTCTAAAATTATGGAATTGAATACAACACAGGGGAGACAGATGATAATACAGACATTTGGTTTACATAAAAACAAAAGAAATAGCTTTTATTTAACAACTAAAATGGTTTTCAAATAGATTCACTTATTTCTATAAGGTATCTATATCACCAGTTCTAATCTACTCTAGCATCAAAAGTAGAAGTAATCTGAGTCCCTGAGACAGAGGATTCATAATGGAGCTCAGAAAAGTCAAAATGGCAGCCAGTCAAAACAAAACAGTATATTCCCAGGCTATGAAAGTGGTCTTCCACCAGACCTAACCTTCCATCTACATATCCCAACCCCTTCCTCTCAAGTTCCTACCTCCTGCTGGAATAAAAACATCCTTTGTGTTGCCATGTTTTGATTGGCAGTTCTCCCCCTGGCCCCAAATTATCACCTTTTCCAACTGTATTCATCCTTCAATATTGCCAGTGAATCAGCTCATGAAGATTTGCTTCATGCAAGAAACAGTTAACTTCAAGTTGTGACTGAAATTGTTAAAACATAGATTTCCCTTCATAATATTTCTAGCCGCAGCTTGAAAGTTCTTAGTGGCTCTCAATTATCTGGGCTGGAGCTCTGTGAGACTCAGTAGCTGAGACTATATATTGATCTAAATTATGTTGTGCCTAGGGTTTATTGAATAAACCACATATTGCAGGATTTGCACAATACATTAAACTTTACACTTGATTTAATAAATTATAACAGTTGGAAATTGGTAAGCTGCTACATGAAAAAACATTACAGTTAGTGCAACGTCTGAACCCTATTTGAGTCTGCACCCTCAAGAATTATGTTTGGAATGATGATAATGGTGGTAGGGGAGATTACTGAAAAAATTCAAGATCTTTGCCTCAACTCTTTTGTTCCTAAACAACTAGATTGATGGGAAGAGGAATGAGTCCAGTAGGAGTCATACTCTTAGTAACTGTGAGGATGATGTACCATGCACATTTGGAAATGACTCCCTTGCTCTAGAGTTCGGATATAATGTAATGGGATACTACACCACTGCCAACTCACCATGGCCAACTTGCCGTGGGACAATTCAACAATTCAATTTAATTATTTAAAATAATTTTAAAAATATTCTAATTTTTGTCATTAATTTGTCAATTTTTGCATCATTTAATGATTCTATTCCACAATTTCTTTGATAGTAGTGTAACTTTTGTCCTGGGGTGAGTTGTCCCATAGTGAGTTAGCTATGGTGAATTGTCCCGTGGTGAGTTGGCCATGGCGAGTTGGCTGTGGCGAGTTGTCCTAGACCCAACTCCAGACAGCAAAACTTCAGTATTTCTACTTAACAGCAGAAGACTAGACTCTCGGTTTCATCTTACTTTGCTACTGGGAACAGGAACACATCTTCCCTTTCACCCATGGACATAGCTAGCTAGAAGGATCAGGGCAGTTTGTGAAGCATGCTTGGTTCTTTCTTCCATCTCCATCTTTCTAGGGCTTGTTTCATGAAGTTCCTTACTTTGATCAATGATAGGGCTGATACCCTTTTTATTTAGAAAGATATTTGATTTTTTAAAAAGTGTTTAGGGAATATGTTATTGATGAGGCCCAAAAGGTACCCTGACATCATATAATATTTGTGTTTTTAGCCCTTTGATTGTGTGAAGAAATCAGTTAATTATTGAATGAAAAATCAGTTTAGCCAGATTGTAAACTGCATCAGATTGATGGTACCGAAACTTAAGTAATGCAGCTATACTTTAACATTCTCATATGGTATTTTTGGCAGTCACTTTTCCATATCACAGCAACAATCTGCATGACCTTCAAATACTTATTAATAGACGCTTGGAGCATTTCTGTAGTAGCAGATGCTTATGGTAAACATCTATATGGTCTATAGAAAACTGTTTTTTAAAAAATGAAAGTGAATATATTATGACTTTTAAGATACAGCCTACAAAATAGCTCTTGGTTTTTTGGAGATGGGTTTTCACAGCAAATGGTAACATTTCTAAATGTTTTAGATAAAGTAATATAGTTTTGCTAGTGTTTGCTGATGATCCCATTACTTGATTTACTGGGGCAGGGAGTCACCCTTAGCAAGTGAATAAATATAGACCGTGCAGAAGAATAATCCAGTGGCACTAGAAATAGTCTTGCCTTGTGGAGCTTCCCAGGATACAAATAGAATTTGGCACATATCACTGTAACATTAGCCTCTTTGCAATATATTTAACCTTTTACAGGTCTTGTTTCATTTAGTAAAATGGTTGGGATTTGGAAAAAGACATCCATTTGTTTTTGCTAGAGAGCTTTTCTTCTAGTTTCATAGCTTTTGTATTTTTCTGATTTCTACTGCTTACAATGAAATGCTGGGCATGTATTTTAGATATAGCTCATTTATAGTGAAATTGTTCCAATTACTTCAGTTATTTTTCCTCTGTTTCATTCTAAGGAATATCTAAGACAGACTTGTATGAATTAACTTGATGGACAGAGAAAAGTAGGTTTATTTTTTCCCTTCCAAAGTAAAAAAATATTGCTCTGATCAGTGAGTTATTTGGCTAAATGAATTATATTTCAGTAAACATAAAAGTAGTGTAAATACCTTGTAGGACTTCAGCTTCAAAATGTAATCAATTTCCACATGCATATAGTCCTTGACTTATAGACACACCCAAAATTTCCATTGCTAAGCAAGGCAGTTGTTAATTTGAGTTGCTCCTCATTTTATGACCTTTATTACAACTGTTGTTAAGCAAATCACTGCAATTTTAAAGTGAATCATATGGTCATTAAGAGGTCTACCTTCTCCCATTGTCTTTGCTTATCAGAAGCCAGCTGGGAAGGTTACAAGTGATCACATGACCCCAGGACAGTGCAACAGTCATAAGTACACGCCAACTGGCAAGTGCTCAAATTTTGATCATGTGACCATGGGGATGCTGCAATGCTTATGTGAAAACCAGTCATAAGTCACTTTTTTCAGTTCTGTTGTAACTTGGAATGGTCATTAAATGAATGATTGTAAGTCATATAACCTTTTTATCCTGTGTCCTGTGGACACACTACAGCAGCGCTGTAAGAATCTCATTCAATAAGGAGTTCAATTATACACATCTTTATAGTCTTTATGAGAGCCAAATTTAAAGTACTTTTATCATCCAGTTTAGGAATAATATATAAACATGTCTGAAAAATATAACTGAACATTTAAAAAAATAATAATTCACATAAGCTTACAAATTTGTGGGCATACAGTAAGATTTTACCAGAGCCTGCTATGTGGTAAGATAAGGGGGGGGGGAAAATCACACTATACATGAAGCTGTTATGCATTAATTTAAATTTGGTATAAAAGAAGACAAAGTCATAGATATCATTGGACCTGAATTTATCAATTGGGAGCAAAGAATTCAATTCCTTCAATTATTTTGTACTCTCAAAAGCATATTTAGTTTTGGTAAATGTGAATTTTAAGAAGTTTCTCAAAACAATTTATATGGCAGTAGCTACTGCATATTTTACAGATATTTTATGCATGTAGCAACTTGCCAACCTGAATGCTGGGAGAGGAAGAATGCTGTGATGGTTTTCATATTGGGAAGAAATAAGGTTTGGCAGGAAAAAGCTGTCCCTTTTTGAAGAAAATTATTTGATAAGGAACAAAACATTTTAACTTTCTTCTATAGCAGATATTTCAGAGGCTAACAACAATAGAAGCTGTTTATTGTAACAATGGAATAAAAATGTTACAATATCTATCTGAAAATGAACAAAACAAATTCACTGTGCACTATTTTTTCTTGCAAATAATTCAGTGTGCTTATCCTCACTGTTTGTCCAATCACTAGATTGCTGAAAAAGCCCTGTGATATAGAAAAGTTCAAGTATGTTTGAATTACAAGCTTGTCAAGTTCTTGATATAACCTTTGTAAGTTATTTTAATGGCGTATTTATAGTAGTGGAACACAAAAGCTTACTCCATTTTTTTTCTTCTACTCCCCCCCATCCCATTTGTGTCAGAGGCACCTTTGAAGTGCTTCCAGATTGAAAGAATTAGTCAGTGATATCACAGTTGCCCAGGGGATGCCCTTGGGGGCTCCTTTCATGTTCCCGTCAAGGAGCTGGAGTGAATGATGGGAACTCACCCTGCCGCACAGCAGCAGTGAAAATACTATTGGAAAATAATCTCTAGGGATTAACCAATTTAATTCCTTATCTGCTACATCAGGGGTGTCAAACTCGATTTCACTGAGGGCTGCATCAGGGTTGTGTTTGACCTTGGGGAGCCAGAGTGGGCATGGCCAGAGTAAGGATGGCCAGCTCGATGTCACTCATGTTGTGATGGCTCAAGCATTCTGCCAGCGAAAACAGGCTCCTGAGCTCTGTTTTCGGCTGCAACGGTGTCCTGCAACCCTCTGCCAGCAAAACAGGCGGCCCTCTTGAGCTCTGTTTTTACTGGCAGAGGCACCACAGGCTGGTCCTTTGCTGTTTCCAGGGTGGCCCCACGTGTCAGATCTAAGCACCCTGTGAGCCGGATTCGGCCTCTGGGCCTTGAGTTTGACACCCCTGTGCTACTTCAACATGCCAATCTTATTTTCTGCAATGGTATGGAGGATTTGACATAAAAGGACAGTGCCAATATAAAGATAAAAATAATGTAATTTGGTGATTACCACTGCACAATTCTAATTCAACTTTGCCAGTTTTTTCAGGGCAAATAATAAGAGAAAGGAGAACTCTGGGAGGCCAGGTACCAAATCTAGAGAATTGACTGATTAGTGTCACCAGGGTCATGCCTACTTAAGAAGGAACTTTGAGAAATAGTCTGCTCTGTTCCATCTGCTAAGTACACATTTTACCTACTATGACTCTAATAGCATGCCCAGCACTAAAGCTACAAGTAGCTAATGTCAATTGAAATTTTCCAGAATTTGTGAGTTGTCAGTACTGTAAGCAAATTCGGTATTTTTCTGTATCACAGAGGGCAATATTATTTTTTAGCAAGTATCAGGGATATACCAAGTAGATACACCAAAGATGATGGAAATGTGTTTTATGGATCCCTCTGGCCTAGTTCACTGCAAAACTGTAAATTGTTTGATTCCTTCTTCTCTTGTGGCACCACATCTTATACCTTTCAAGAGGGCAGTGATAACTATTTACTCTGTTTTATTATATTAGAACAGTTCCTTTAAACATTATCTCATGAAAGACTGTAGCATTAAGAATTCAAAATCACTTTTCTGGAGAGTTCAACTGATTTCCTTGATTTATAGTTTATAGTAGAGACTTCAGAGACAGAAATTCTAGTTGAAGATTGTGACTTATGTTACCTATTATGTATGGCTACACATTGAGCCTCTTTTTGTGTACTAATAGTGTACAGCCTGGAACAATGGTTGGTAGTTTAAGACATTCTACAACATACACATTTATGAGACAAAATTTAGGCATCTGAGGCTTGTTTCATGGATTTTGGTAGGATTTGCTAAATATATTCCTTTTCCAATCTGCCATTAGATCTCCTAACATATCAGAGAATGTTATCAAATCTAGCATAGGAAAGCAGGGTTTCCAATAACAACCACCACCACAACAATAATAATCCCTATTAAATAACATTAATAAACCCTACTGAAAAAGTGATGTAACAGATAACTTGAATGTATTACTAATTTTGTTTTTTTTTCTTTAAAAATGCTAGAAAATTATGTTGTATTAAAATATATAGGGGATTAATTCCACTTTAAAATATTTATTAATTCAGAAAAGAAGGCAACTGCGAAATGACCCTAGATTAACAGTGATAACTCTATTTAGCCGTGCATAAATTTGAATTTCTTGGCCATTGTTGGTTTACTTTTGTTTAACAACTTGCATATATGTTTCTATTCAGAAAAAGAAAAAGAAAAAAAGAATTAAATTAAATTAAATTAATTCAATTTATATGCCGCCCCTCTCCGAAGACTCAGCAATAGAAGCAATAGAAATAAAAGTTAGATGTAATGGCTAAGATCCATAATAGCTGACTCATGGAACTGAGTTATTGCTGTACTGAAAGTTTTACATAGCCTCTGTGTCCAAAATGTACACTTACTGCTTCTTCAGCCTTGACAGTTGACCTTTCAATGTGTGGGCACACACTGCCCCAGGGGCAGCAGCATTGGCAGGGCAGACACGGCAGTATGCTATTTAATAACCCATCTCTATTGTCTTTATCTCAGGTAGCAACCCAAGTTGTCACTCTCATTGTATTGGGTGAATGTAAATGTCACTGTACTTTATATGTGAAGGCCAATCCACAAACAGTCACATTTCCCCCTTCACATGGTGTTCTGGATGCTCCTGGTTTTAATTTGAAAACAGACATCCAAATCCTATTGTTATAATCAATATGATTTTTTTCTCTTGGCAATATTTAGGGATGATGGTTATTTTTTTTTAAAAAAAGCAAGACAAACCAACTAGTCAGACTGTTGTAATTTGGTCAACCACACGGGTACTATCCATATCTACCATTTCAACACATTCTATTTCCTCCCGATTCTCAGGAGTTTTCTTCTCTTTCCTTTTTTTTTTTGATGGTGGCAGAAAAGTTAGTATCACAGGTAAAATGGCAAAGCAATGAAAGAAGGTGACTAATGCCATCAAAAACAAGCACCTGAACAGTGTACGGGTCAGATTTGAAGGCACAGCTGCGAGAGGAATCAGACCAACAATGAAGCAGAGGTAGCTCTGTAAAATCGCTACCCCGTGCACTTCCAGGGAATTCTTTACCCATTTAGTTCTTGTGAAATCTTTGCCCAGGACAAATGTTGACAAGAGAGGTGCGCAGTTGTCAACTGTATAATTAATTCCATAAATTAAACACAACACAGAAATACAGTCCAGCTCAACTTTCCACAGGGTCATAAAACCTATAACTCCAAATTCAACTGAGGCAACGGTGAGTGTGAGCCATACATTGATGAGAGAATCTGCCACTAGGAATGCAGAGAAGAAGAGCAGGAATAAAGCACTAATACAGGAGTTCTGCAAGGGCCCCCCCACATAGGAGGCATAACGATCCATGTAGACAAAGGATGGGTTGAAAACAATGAACTTCACTTTAGATTTGAGAGACAGCTTTCGTAAAGTTTCCAGGAGGTGATAGAGCTCTTCTCGTTTGGTATCCATGGTCTTAGCTACCAAGAACATTCGAGAGGCCACCACTTCAACTTCATTACTGTATTTTTTTGAAAAAATGATATCCTCTGAAAAATGGGCATATTGGGGAGCTTTCAGAAAGGAGTTCCTCAATATATCAGTAAAATGCTTTTTGGATAATCCAGTTGATATGTTGAGTTTTCTCAGATAATTCAAATAGCTCTCAAACCAAGATATCCTTACAAACCCCTTAGTATACTCTAGCATGTCATCTTGAACGGTCACATTCCAATATTCTATTGATTCATAAATATAAAACCCAATGACAGGGCTGTAATTGCTGAAGTACTTCTGCTGAGCAGCAGTGTACTCCATGGTTTGTGTCGCAGTTGCTACAATGTTACTGAGGTCTGACTCTTCACTGACCTGCAAGTAGCCCATTAAGGCAAAGGAAATATAAATAAGGTAAAAGAGAACTACAAAAGGCTTGACATATGTGTTTGTTATCCAGTCACAGTAATAACGCTTGAGGAAACACACCAAAAGGTGGCTTTCGTAACTGTTTGTTTCCTCTGACTCTGCTGTATCCTCACTAAATTTGGCTGTCAGAAGAAATCTATACCAAGGAGGCTTCTCTTGCAATACCTCTGGTTTTGGTACCTTTCGGCAGAAGATACTATGCTGGTAGTTGTTTTCTATGTAGCCAGTAAACACGAGGCTGGAACCATAAAAGGAGAGTACATAGAGGTAGTTGAAGAAAATTGCAATACAAGAATTGCAGCAGAAGATCCTGGCTGCTTCAATGTTGGTGAAAGGGCTGGCACCAATCCCAAAAGTCACCAGATACATGGCAGTGGTGAGAGAAAAGGAGAGCATGGAGTCTGCGAACACAGCTGCAGTTCTCTCTTTTACATGTTGGTCTTCTCTAGTTTTTCTCCAGGAGGACAACATTTCAAAAGTTCCATATAATCCGTGCCCTGGAACGAAGAAAAGAGCAACTGTAATGCTGTTATATAATTAGAAAGTCAGGTGACTCCTGCAAATGAGGATATAGCTAATTGTGCATTGCATGACCTGGGTAATTTAGGAAGAAATTGTCCTGGTGCAGGCAAATGTTCATATACACTGACATGAAAATTATTTTTAAAAATAGAACTACAGTGATTATTGATGGTAATAATCTGTGCCAGGAAATTTGTGGCCAAGAAGAATTATGCTAACAAGTTATCCAATTAAAGTTAAATTATGCATTTTTCATGCCATGGCTTTACTTTGTGATGATTTAAGAGTAACCAAACTTAAAGAAACTTCAGTAGTATTTTATTGATACTGCACTTAAACAGAAAACTTCAACATAAAGTCTATGTTATGTAGGAGGCAATGAAGATTAATTTGAGCCATGGCACAAATAATTATTTTTCATTTGTTTTCTTTGATAAACATGCTCAGAAAAAGCCTTGTGGATGCTGTCAAAATGTACAGATGGATCTTTTCACACAATGAAAATGCTTGTTTTTAAAGCGGGGGCATATTTTGGCATTAATGTTTGAAAATGAATAGACTATAGCTTCATATGATTTAGATAACTGTGATATCTCAATATTTATTTTCAAAAATAGATTAAGGTGCTAGATTCTGCATCAGTTACAATGTTGTGTGAAATACAAAGGCTTGTTTCTAAAAGTTACAAAGGTAGGTTAGATTGATTATCCATTGAATTCATAATTCTGTGCAAAATTCTATATGCATGAAACCAAGAGGTTTCATGCATATATTGTTGTCAACCTAGACAATAATTTAGATGATAGACATGAATGAACTGAAATATTATTATACTTTTGCCACGTATAAGGTACGGAAGAAATATACTGTATATTGATCACTATATTTAAACTTTTAAGATGTAGATGATTTTAAATATTTTTTTCACTAGCCTAATTACATGTATATTAGTTTGATTCTATAAGTAACTAATCAATACTAAATCCAATTGGTTTTTATGGCTAAATTAAATGGGATTAGTGGTGTCATGGCTGACTCACCATGCACCCCTGCTCTCAACCAGATAATAGAAACAGGGAGTGGGGAAGGAAAGTATTGGAATGCAAGAGAGGCTTGGGAGGGAGTTGAGGAATTCAAGTGAGCCAATGCAGCCCAGGACGGCCCTAACACCCTAAGGTCAAACACTGGGAAAACTCTGAGCTGTTCCAAATGTTCCCTAAACAAAATGAATACAATTGATTGGTGGACAATAAAAACTTTAGAACCAGCTTTGCTAGTTCTGTGCTACTACTCTTATATGGAATTATCGGTAAAGTTATACTCTTGGTAAAATAACGTCCAGGAGTTTCTTTTGCTGCATTTACCAACAGGATGGTTGACAGGTAAGGTTATGGGAGTCCAGTCTAAATAACTGATTTAGCATCATAGCAAAAATTAGAATTTTACTTCCCTATAAAATTGTGGCTATTAATGATACCCAATACACAGTTATTTTAACAATGGAAGATATACACCTATGTACCATATGTACAGCATTGGCTCAATGGCTTTGAAATGAAGCTGAGCACCATCCCTTATAGTTGGGTATGTCTAGTGGAGTAAAATCCACAGGGATTTCTTTACCTACCATATGTACATAATGCCAAGTGCCAGGGTAATCAGGAAATCCAGGCAGTTCAAATGAATATAAAGATTTATTGCAAGCTTAAGCTCACTACAAGAATCTGAACTACTAATGGACAAAGCAAATTGGCGGCAGATAGGAGTCAAAGACATTCAAGGTGGCTGAACTTAGATCTCTTGTGGGCATGAAGGGCTAGTTACTGATGATGTGTTTGATGTCTCCCTCAGGTTCAGCCTGGTCATTTCCTACACATACCCTTTTTATGAAGCACTATTTCTGCAACATATTATAAATATGCTTTATTTATAAATCAGCTTTCAGTGTCCCAATATCCTCCAAAACTACTGTCATTCTATTTACATAGCTAATTATACAGCACTTTGAAGATGAAAGATACTGAAAGAGGATTGAGATAAGCCCCAAACCCACTTATTTATCGCAAAGTGCCAACACGGCAATTAAACCTGAATAATAAGGTTTTACTACCAGTGGTGGGATTCAAATAATTTAACAACCAGTTCTTCCTAATCACCTGGTGGGCGTGGCTGGGGAGGTAGGCATGTGACTGAGTGGGCATGGCCAACTCTACGTCACTCATGTGGGTGGTGCCTGTATGAGACAGGCAGAGTTGGGTAGGGAATCCAGGGGTCTCTGGGGGGTGGGGTGGGGGGGTGGGAGGAAAGAAAGAAATATACATCTCTCTCTCTCTCTGTGTGTGTGTGTGTGTGTGTGTGTGTGTGTGAGAGAGAGAGAGAGAGAGAGAGAGAGAGAGAGCACACCACTGCAAGCCCTGATATAACTCTCCAAGATTGGATCAGCTCTCTCTCTCTCTCTCTCTCTCTCTCTCACACACACACACACACACACACACACACACACACACACTGAGGTTAGATCGGATCTCTCTCACACACACACTCGCACACAGGTTAGATTGGATCTCTCTCTCTCTCTCTCTCTCTCTCTCTCTCTCTCTCTCCTTCCCTCCATGCTTTAGGCAGGCTTAGCCGCACCAGGAGGCTGAAGTTGAAATTTCTGCCCTCCTCCGACCCGCATGTACCTTGGCAACAGGACTGTTTCTCTCTGCCCCCTTTTCCTGTTTTGCCTGCTGTATATACACAGGGGGATGAACCTAGCTTTGCTGTCCATTGCAGCTAGGAATCTCAAAGCAGAGAATGAACATTTATGTTGAAGCTAGCCCGGGTGCTAGATCGACCCCTGAAAACTCCATCTCTCGAGGAGCCCAGCCGAACTTTTGACCGCCACTCATTGAGGCAGAGGGTGGGGTGGAGCTAATAGGTGGCCAAACTAAGTGCCTGAAGAAGCTCAACTGGCCGGTGGGGAGGCAGGGCATCCCAACACCGGCAGCTCTGCAGGAAAAGAAACTGCTTTTTTTTTTGTCGAGCCGACGCAGGGTCACATTGTAGCTCCGCATAGTAAAAGGGCTTCAGGAGGAGGACGGGACCCTGTCTCCCTCATTGTAAAGTGTGCAAGTGAAAAAGTTCACTCAATCAATTCCAACTTCGCGAGATCTTTTTCTTTTGCAAGAAGTTGGAATTGATTGAGTGAAACATGACGGAGAAACGCGATTGGAGCTGGGCTGGGGCGACTGCGCATGTGCCCACAGAAACAGCTCTGCATGCCATGTATGGCACGTGTGCCATAAATTTGCCATCATGGTTCTAGATTAACTTCACGGATACAGATCTGTGCATTAGGGGAATTCTGTTGGTTATACTGTAACCTACAGTGTCACAGGGCAAGCGTCTGATCTACAGTGTTCTCCTCTTTAATATTCAGCATCTCTTCACCTACTTTTTTTGTATTGAGTCTTGGACTATGTTTATTTAATCTGAGAGAAAATTTATGATAGATTATGTTAAATGCTTTTTGTTTATATAATTGTATGTAATTGCACTACTTTCTATTTTGATATTTGCATTTTGCATTTATCTTTGCAGTATATTACTTTGGGAATTTTTTTTTGATATAGCCAGTACAGAAGTTTGAGTAAATGAATCAAAAAGTTACAATTGGATCAAATGTTTATATATTCAATGCAAAATAAATCCTGAAATAGATAGAGAGCATTCTACTTCGAGGGTTTAATCACTATGCTTTGTTTTCATGCAGTGCAATCCTATAAGTATTTATTTAAATTACTGTTCATTATATCACCAAAACCATTCTTTGAAAGCTGAACTTATTCAGAAAATCAGAACATTTAAACACACATTTCTGCATTTGCTTTGCTTAACCTTCAGGATGTTATCTCTGCCATCATGACAGCTAAAAATTTCCTCTAAAAATGATCAAGAGAGGTTCTGATGCTTCCTGCAAAGCATTTCTCTTGTCATATCATTGTTATACTTATTTTTGTGATACATTGTTACACATTTTTGCCAAGTTTATAGTGCTGAACTGATTAATCACAGCCTCCCAATTAAGGGCACTCTGGTACAGATAGCCCATTTTAGATGCTTGGGTACATTCCTGTGGCAAACAAGAATCAGTACAAAGGTCCTGCTTTGATGACATTTATTGCAGTTAAAAGGATAACATTATTTATGCATTCTTGGAATGGGTAACTGAAAATAAGATTGAGCACTGTTGCCATTAGTGTTGGGGTTTGTGTGCTACTGTAATGGATTCAACATTAATGCCTGAAGAAAGTGGCCTTTGTCAGATAGGTCTGTTTTCATAGAATTAATTTGGAACCATGGCAAAAGATTGCAAATATCTTTCTGGGTTCATGCTGAATGCTCAGTCTTCTTAGAATGCCATCTGATGTACACATTGATAAATTAGTTGGCCTCTGACTGATATGTTCAGTTTATTTCTAGAGGGCTTGATTGAGCTAATGAGAATTCAAATACTGAGCCTGCCAATATTATAAGCCTTTAGGTAAAAATGCTTCTAAACAGAATACCAATTCCTTATTAAAAGATAGGATACTTTAATTTTATCTACCTTCATGTGCTACTTTAAAACTAAATTTAAAAGCCATTTATGTAAAGATCACCACAAAAGTCAACTTAATTCTTAAATATTGTATCTATAAAGTTTTATAACAGTTTACTTATAACAGGTAGTCCTCAATTTACCGTGTTTCCCCAAAAATAAAACAGGGTCTTATTTTCTGAGCCCAAATAAGGGCTTTGCCTTATTATTGGGGGGGGTCTTATTTTGGGGGTGCAGGAGGCGGCAAGCATGGGACTGGATGTCCCATCGCTGCCATAGCCTTCCCTCCCTGTTCTTCACGCCAGTTGAGCATCCCAATACATCCCACCCCACACCAATGGCAACAGCTGCTTCCCTTCCCCACCGTCTCTTTATCGAGAGGGGTGGCAG